TCGGGCTTTCTGGGCCGGTCCGAGCCCAATCGGGCTAAAGCCCAAAAACTCAATAGTCTGAATAGGTTGAGCCTGAAAAGCCCGATATTTTTTGGGCTTATATATTCAGATTCGAGCCCAGTATTTTTAAGGGATGGATCGGACCGAGTTTCGGGATTTAACCCTAATTGATATGCCTAGATTCATATTGAGAGATCCAGCACCATCAATCTCAACTTAACGCATGTAAATTTGTTTTCTTTGATAAAGAAACACAATAAAAAGCTTCAGTGTAACAATTCATAGTGAATTTTTTTTTTTTTTATTATCATAGTGGGGATTCCAACAGTTTTCTAAGTCAAAATACTAATTCCACGGAACGCATGTTTCACTACCCATTTCTATGTGGTGGCCACGAGTCGAACCAAGATAACAATACCCACAGTCGTAGATCCATTATCATCATGCCACAACCGACTGGTTAAGAAACACGTAATATTAACCAACAACTAATTGAATTTTTGTTTTTCTTAATTCTTAAAAGTGATGTTGATTTAATTTTTAATTGTTTCGTTAAGAAACACGTAAACCCACATGATACATATATCATTCATGAAATAAAAGTAAAAAAATCTCTACATGTATATATGCATAATTTATTTGATAATAATAGTGTATTGACTTTTGTGGCGTGTCTGACTTCACCAGAAAGCCCATTAAGCATGGGCCCAGTCTTCCACTTTCCGTTGTCGTGGACCCATCACTACTCCATTCCGCACGTTCAAATAAAGAAGACTTCTATTATAATTTTTTGGTTATTATAAAACTTACCCTTTTTTTTTTTTCATCTAAACATCATTCATTCATACATTATAATTCGAAGGAAAGATACAAGGGTAGGATGTGTTTTTGATACACCAAAAACTAACCCAAGCTATATTCTATGAAATCGATAAATAGGGCAAAACCACTAAAGAAAACAAACTCAAAGCTAAAGACAAAGAACCAAGGTAGATCAAACAAACAATCTCATAGAACAAGTAGGATCCGATGCACCAAATAACAAGAGACGAGATGAAACCATTGACACCGGTCTCTTTCAAGCTCAGAAGATAGCAGCAACACCGGGAGAGTTGGAAGCTTGACCTAAATAACCCAAAGCAGAAGCACTAACATCATCACCACCATTCCAAAGATACAAACAAACCGAACCGATTCAAGCACAAGGAAGGGAACCTCTGCAAAGGGATACGACAAAAAGGACCACCAACACTTTACCACGGGCCCTTGCCCGCCAACTTCAGCCATCTAAAGACACAAAGATGGCCACGTCCATGCAAGATAAAGGCTGAAGATCTACACCACTGTACAGACTTGATTCTACCCCAAACCCACATGATCTAAAGGGAAGAACTAGTAGATGCTCCTCAACAATGTACCATCTAAATGA